TGCTGATCTGAACAGAGAATTCTCAACAGAAGAACTCCGAATGACCAAAAAACACTTATGGTCATGCTCAACATCCTTAGCGATCAGGGAAATGCAAATCAAAACAACTATGAGATACCATCTTACACCGGTCAGATTAGCTAAAGTCAAAAACACCAATGATAGCCTATGCTGGAGAGGATGTGAAGAGAGGGAAACTCTCATCCATTGTTGGTGGGAATGCAAACTTGTGCAGCCACTGTGGAAATCAGTGTGGCGGTTTCTCAGGAAACTGGGAGTCAACCTCCCTCAAGACCCAGTAAGATTCCACTCTTGGGAATATACCCAAGAGATGCCCTATTATACCACAAAAGCATTTGTTCAACTATGTTCATAGCAGCACCATTTGTAATAGCCAGAACCTGGAAACAACCTAGGTGCCCCTCAATAGAAGAATGGCTAAAGAAGGTGTGGAACATATATACACTAGAGTTTTACTCAGCGGTAAAAAACAATGACATCTTGAATTTTGCATGCAAATGGATGGACATAGAAAACGCTTTACTGAGTGAGGTAAGCCAGACCCAAAAAGAGGAATATGGTATGTATTCACTCATAAGTGCATTCTAGTCATAATTAAAGGTCTTTGAGCCTATTATTCGAGACCCTAGAGAAGCTAAATAAGAAGGTGAACCTGAAGAAAATCATGTACTTATCCTCCTGGAGATTGGAAATAGACAAGAGTCCCAGGTAACCTTGGGTGCATGGGGGGGCGGTGGTTGGTAGGGTTGTTGGAAGGGGAGAGGGTTAAAGAGAAGGGAGTAGGGGAGGAATGGGGAAAACTCGGAGGACTGAGATGGGGGGAGGGAGGAAGGATGGATATGGGATCAGAGAAGAATATATCTCAACTAAGGGAGTCAGTTTAGGGTTTACAAGAGACTTGATTATAAATGGAATCCCAGGTCCAAGGAGAGATCCCCAGATTGTTCTCTGGACAGAGGAGAGGGTGCCTGAACCGGCCTTGGCCTATAACCATACTGATGAAGATTTTGCTTATCACCATAGATCCTTCATCCGACGATGGATGGCGATACAGACGGAGACCCACGTTGGAGCACCGGACTGAGCCCCCCATGGTCCAAATGAGGAGCAGAAGGAGGAAGAACATGAAAAAAAAAACTCAGGACCGCGAGGGGTGCGATCACCCACTGATACAAGGGGTCTGATCTAATGAGAGTTCACCAAGGCCAGTTGGACTGGGACTGAACGAGCATGTGATCCAACCAGATTTTCTGAATGTGGCCGGATTCTCTGAATGTGGCTGGCCCGGAGCCTTTCTGAAAAGCCATTGACAATGACACTGGGACTTGCTTCCTCTGCATATACTGGATTTTTGGGATCCAGTCTGTTTGGATACTCACCTTCCTGGACCTGGAGGGAGGGGGGAGGAACTTGAACTTCCCTCAGGGCTGGAAGCCCTGACTGCTCTTAGGGATGGAGAGGGAGGAGGAGGGGGAGGGGGGAGTAGGAGGGTGTTGGGAGGAGGGGCGGAAATGGAAACTTTCATAATTTAATAAACTTTGAAAAAAAACTATTAATATTAAACTTGTTATTGAAAAGTGCTTGTTTGGGGCTAGAGAGATGACTCAGAAGTTAAGAGCACTGACTGCTCTTCCAGAGGTCCTGAGTTCCATTCCCAGCAACCCTATGGTGGCTCATAGCCATCTATAATGAGATCTGGTGCCCTCTTCTGGCCTGCAAGTAGACATACAGGCAGAGTACTGTATACATAATATATAAATAAATAAACAAATAAATAAATAAATAACATCTTAGAAGAGGGAAAAAGAAAAGTGCTTGTTTATTGTAATCACTTTATTTTTTTAATTTTGTTGTTGTTTGTTTATTTTGTTTTTCTGTTTTGTTTTGAGACAGGGTTTTTCTGTGTAGTCCTGGCTGTCTAAGAGCTCTCTATATTGATCAGACTGGCCTCAAACTCATAAAGATCCACCTGTTTTTGCCTCCTCCCAAGTGCTGGGATTAAAGGCTTGCACTACGAGGACAAGAAATATTTGTTATTTTTATATTATGGATATGTGTATTGTGTAGATGTATATATACACATATATATATGTATATATGTGTATGTGTATATGTATATATATATATATGAATATGTATGTGTATAGGTTCCCAGAGAGGCCCGAGTCATTGGGTACCTTGGAGTGAGGTGAGCATCACAGATAGTTTTGACCTGGTTACAGGGATCAGAACCATGGTCGTCTGTACCTGATACTCAGTGCTCAATCTTAACCCCAGAGCCATCTTTTCAGCCTTTACTTTTTTTATTGAGGTACATACATCAGGTCTAAACATCACCTTTTTTAAATTACTAATTTATTTATTTTACGTGTAGGGGTGTTTGTAGACTGAGGCTGCGTGTTTGGTTCCCGACCACGCAGACCCGAAATAATCACACAGAAACTGTATTAATTGCGATACTGTTTGGCCAATAGCTTAAGCATATTTGTAGCTAACTCTTACATTTTAAATTAACCCATTTCTATTCATCTGTGTATCACCATGTGGTTGTGGCCTACTGGTAAGGTTCCATCCAGTATCCGGCATCTGTCTCCTGCATCAGCTACATGGCTTCTCCTTGATTCTGCCTACTCTTTCTCTTCATCTCTGTTTGGATTTTCCACCTTGCCCTATTCTGTGCTGGCATAGGCCCAAAGTAGATTCTTTATTAGCCAATGTACTAAAGCATATTTACAGCACACAGAGGGAATTCCACATCAGATGTTTTGAATTTGTATGGACTGCTTGCAGGCCTGTGTACCACTTGCATATAGTATTCCCCGGGGCTAGAAAAAGGTGTCAGATACCCTGGGACTGGAGCTACTGCCCATTGTGAGCCTCCATGTGGGAGCTGGGAATTGAAGCCCAATTCTCTGGAAGAGCCGTCAGTACTCTCAACTGGTAAGCCATCCCTCCAGCCCTCTATACTTCACATTTGGGTGGAATCAGAATCAAGGCTATATTGTAGAAAGGCCCATCAGGGATAACAGGAAATTTTAGTTTAAACGTTGTACTCTTCGATGGAGTGTGGGCTGAGATTTGTATTTTCAGAAAGATAAGTGAATCTGTAGTCAAGGAATATTTGAGGGAAAAGCCTTTCAGTGTTGAGGTCATTGCAGGGGTCTCTGAAAAGACAGTTCATCCTTTGCTTCCAAACTGTCTGGAATTGAGATGTCTGAATACACTTCATACTGATATTAAAAGACAAAATGATGTGAGCAGACAACTGACCCAGAGGTACTACCAGTTCAGACTTGATTGAAATAATCAGTATGGAATAAAGCCATTCCAGCGGGCTGAGGTGATTTAAAGGGAGAAGTGTGTGACACTTTTCCTTAGCATCCGGACCACCAAGAGCATAGGAAGCAATTGACTGAAAATGTGTTTCTGATGTGGTGATCCACTTAAAGGAGTTCGTGTATGGGGAGAATGAAGAGTATTCGCACATTAGGAGCTATGAGTCATAATCTCAGCATACAATGTTAACGATCAAAACTATGTATTATCTTAAAGGATGGTCCAAAAATGTAGGCAAAGACTTTCATATGTGTGGTTGGCAGTTCTTGTCAACTTGTCACAACTTGCCAAACTAAAGTCACCTGGGAAGAGGAAAACTCAATAGAGAAATTACATTTGTCAGATTGGCCTATGGGCATATCTCTGGGGTATTTCCTTGCTTGTTGATAGATGTGGAAGGGCCCAGTTCAATGTGGGTGGTCCTGGGCTATGTAAGAAAGTAGGCTGCCACAGTATGGAGAGCAAGGTGGTTCCCACGATCTTTATTTCAGCTGCGCTCAAGAAATCCTGCCTGAACTTCCCTTGATGAGGAGCTATAACCTGTGAGATGAAGCAAACCCTCTCCACCCCTACCTTACTTTTGTTCACTGTTTTCTCACAACAGAGAAGTAAAGTAATTTATGTATTTGGGCTTTTGGGGTGAGTTGCTTTTAGCTTTTCAACTTTGAAACAGAGTCTCATTGTGTAGTACCAGATGGATAAGAAACTTAAGGTCTCATTGTCTCAGTCTCCTGACCTGGAATTCCAGGCTTCTACCACTGTGATATATTTGTTTTTAAATAATATAAAATGTCCTTATTCTTGAATTTCATACATCTAAACCACAAAATGTGATCATATCTACACCCATATCCTCCATTTAATTTCCCCCAAATCACCCCAAACAGGCCTTCTCAAACTTCATGTCCCCTTTTTGGTATGTCTGCTTTTATACTCACCCGGCATTATAGCCACATGTGTCTGCATCCCAGTGTCTGGTGTACAACAGAGGCCCAGGCTTGGAGACTGAAGACCACTGATGCTGCACAGGAGAGAGAGGTAGGATAATGGCCTCTTCAGCTTCCTGGAGCAAACCATCTGAAGAGTCGTTAAGCTTCTTCTGTGTGTGCTTCCTAATAAATAAAATGCATGGTGCAGGAGTGGTGCTTGGGCCATGTGTTGACATTCCCCTTCCGTTGTAACTCAATTGCTTTGTGACGTGGGCAAGGAACCTATTGTAGTGGAAGTTTATAGAAAAAAACAGTTTGGTTGAGAACGTGATTTCAGAATTAAGGATTTGCCTAGTGCTCTCTATCCAGGATTTAAAGTTCACATATGTGTCAATATCTGAGTAATCCAATGTCCTGTGATCTATAACAGCAGTGTGTTGTTTTATCTTTTATTTATGCAGATGGAAGGCTAAGTAACTGTCTCTGTAATTTCAAACAGAGTGCTACAAAGATGGCCTGCAGGTTCACAGGTTAAGCCCAGCTTTTAAATACTGGTGCCCAGGATGATTTAGCCACATCAGTCCTATTTCCCCTGAATCTAGTGTCTGTGATTTTTGCTTTGGACGTTCTATACATTACTGTTGAGTGTAAATTTTAATTTACCAAGATCAGTATATTTTGATTTACTTTCTTTTTTTCTTTTTTTCAATCAAGATGGAATGCGTGGAAGTCCCAGACAGTGTCTGAAGAGTGGTCTAATAAACGCCCATTTTGGAAGAATGCCAAAGAAATGATATCTACATGGATCATGAGTGACGCCCATTCTTGAGTGATCTCCTCACCATACTTCTCACATAGCCATATAAAGTACACCTTTTTCAGAAACCACATAAACAGAGGACAAGCAAATTGCACAGTTCCCATTTGGACATTCGCAGAGACGTTAGAAATGGTTGACAAGTATCACCTGAAATGCTTACCACTTTGACTCTGTTAGTGCACTGTCTTCTGGTCTCTGAAATCCCTGGTGGCAGATACCCTTATTATCTTGTTGATGACCTTTGCCTGTGTTGCCATTTCTTGTACTTCTGTACTGAAGATTCACTTTTTACCTAGCTGTGATGGCACAAATGTGTTCTCAAGCACTGGGGAGCTTAAGCCAGGACAGTTGCAAAGTTTTGTGGAGCCTGAGCAAATCACCAAATCCCTGTCTTAGAGCAACAGTAGGATTCTTTATTATTGTTTTTTCAAATTTTGATTTTAAAGAGTATCAGGGTAGGTCTGAGTTTATGTTGAAATTCCTTGAGTTTCTTTGTTAGCTATACTAATAATAAAAGATATTAAAATTCAAAGTTTTCAGATATTTCTTCACCTATCCTCTCTGCTACTTTCTATTCTCCTCTGCTGATTCCCATTGTACAAAAAATATTTTGTGTGTCTTGAATAGGTATATGCACATGAGTGCAGGTGACTACAGAGGAGTTGGACTCCCTGAAGTTGGAGTTACAGAGCGTTATGAGCTGCCTAATGTGGGTGCTAAAAATCAAACTTGCTTTCTCTGGAAAAACAGTATGTGCTCTTAAATGTTGAGCCATCTCTCCAAACCTGTTAATTATAAATGGCTTGGAGGGATTGTAAAAGTCACATGGCATATAGATATGGCTGTAAGGGACATGTTATTTCCTGAGATTGCTGAGAGACAATATACTTTTCGGGCATTGGAAAGATGAATTCATTGATAAGAGCACTTGCTACTTTTGTAGAGGACTTAGTTTTGTTCCCAGCACCCACATCTGGTGACTCACAACTACCTCTAACTTGAATTAAGGGTATGTATGGGACTCTCCTCAGGATTCCTAGGGCACTTCTATGCATGTGGTGCACAGACATACACTGAGGCATAGACACTTAGACAAAAGCAAAATAAGGAAAAGCAGAATGTCATAGAAAAGAAAACTTTTAGATAAAAAGTTATTTTGAAGCGAGGCAGTGGTGGCACACACCTTTAATCACAGCACTTGGGAGGTAGAGGCAGGCAGAACTCTATGAGTTTGAGGCCAGCCTGGTCTACAGAGCTAGTGCCAGGACAGCCAGAGCTATGTAGACAGAGACTGCCTATTTGTTCCTGGATTCCCAGACCCAAAACAATTACACAGAAACTATATTAATTGCAATACTGTTTGGTCAATAGCTTAAGTGTATTTCTAGCTAGCTCTTACATCTTAAATTAACCCATTTCTATTATTTTATATTTTATCACGAGACTCGTGGTTTACCAGTAAAGTTCCTGGGTGTTTGTTTCCTTTGGCAGCTACATGGTGTCTCTCTGACTCTGCCTTCTTTCTTCCTCTATCTGCTTGGAATCCGCTCCTTGCTCTATTCTGCCCTGTCAAAGGCCCAAAGCAACTTCTTTATTAACCAATGGCCGCAAAGCACATTCACAGCATACTGAGGGGAATCCCACATCAGAGCTACACAGAGAAACACTGTCTCGAAAAACCCAATGTACTCAGTGGTTAGACTGGAGTGGTAGCTAGACACTGCATAGCATGGAAGTGATAGCTTCTCTCACCTTTGGCTTCTATGCTGACACGGGGATGGTGTTTACTGTGGACTTTGATGTTTGATTTGGGGATCCTGTGTGCGGAGATTGGGAGTAGCTTTCTGTGTTGGGTTCTTCCAACAGACAGAGAGTGATCCCGGAGAGAAAGGGCAGGAGTCTTGTCCATCTGCACTTCTCAGGCCCAGTAGACGAAGTGGTAGGCGTGTGGTGGGGCTGCCCCTTTACCATATGCACAGGGAGAGCCAGATTCCATCCTGTAGGGCCTGGGTGGCTGGGCAAGTGGAAGTCTGCACTCTGCTGTAGGGAGGAGCTGGTGACCCTTTAACGCTGTCCCTGCTTGCTCCAGTGTGGAGAGGGCAGGCTGCCTGACACATGTGCCGCTGCTGCTCTTTGTAGGGAATCACACTGTGTGAGAAAAGCTGAGTGCCGTAATTGAGAGTAGCGCATATTCTGGAGGCATGTGGCCATCATAATGCAATACACCTCCAAACTTTTTCGTCTGATTAGGCAGGTTATTTAACTTTTTTGCATCTGCTTTGTGTCGTCTATAAAATAGGGATAATGGTTAACATCCCAGAAAACTTCATTGAGCATAGCAGTGAACATAGCAAAGCCAAAGCTTTGCCACAGTGGCAGCAATGGTGGTGGTGGTGGTGGTGGTGGTGGTAATGGTGCTGCTGCTGCTGCTGCTGCGTAATTTTTGCCTGAGTTGTTCAGGGTGGTGGGTGAGAGAGTTTTAGGATATCTGGTGGTTTTATAGCCTGTGCCTATCATGTATCTATCATGTTCGCATAGACAAGATGTTATAAATGTTTGTAACAGACGCATGTGTGTGCATACTTGTAGCAGTAGCAGGTGAATATTCAGGCTAAGTAGAGTTTTTTTTCCTCTCTCTATGAAAGTTAGCTAGTAGCAGGTGTTATGAGTGTGTATTCAGGTCCGTGTAGCACTTAAGATGTGTGTTCACAAACTATAATGGGTGAATATTCTGAAAACGTGCTATGGCTTGGGGTTTAGAGTGGAGACTTTTACATGATGTCATAGTTAGGGCTTATATTGCTGTGAAGAAATACCATGACAAAAAAAGAAAGAAATACCATGGCTTATAAAGGAAAACATTTAAATGATATGGCTTACATTTTCAGAGGTTCACCCTTTATCACCGTGGCAGGGAGCCCGACAGTGTACCGGCAGAATGGTGCTGGCTACATTCTGATATGCAGGCAACAAGAAGTGAACTGTGACACTGGGAGTAGCTTTTAAATAAGAGGCCCCAAAGCCCACCCCACAGTGACACACTTCCTCCAACAAAGCCACACCTACTCCAACAAAACCACACCCCCTAATAGTGCTAACCTCTTTGGGGGCCATTTTCTTTCAAATCGCCACACATAGGGAGCAGGTAGATTGTGTACTATATTCATGTGGAAGGATGTAGGTAATGCAAGAACTGACTTTTGATGGCAGATGATGCTCATTTCTTCCCAGTTCTGTGTTCAGTAGCATCAAATTGGTAGGTTGAGATTGGTCCCTGATGGCATTATATGACGCAAAAATCAAACCTCACCTGTCTTCTCTGTAGACTATCTTAATATTTACTGGTGTGTGTGTGTGTGTGTGTGTGTGTGTGTGTGTGTGTGTGTTCATGCATGTGTATGTACACATACATTCATGTGTGAAATATATGTGACAAGATGTTTTATGAAGAACATTCAGGCACAATGAGTTATCTATGTGAATTGTTACTGGTTCATCAGGATATTGACCCTGGTCATTCTGAGCTTTTTAAGGTCAAAGAGTTCACTTTAGGGTTGAGTTAGGGCTCTTTATTCAGATAGATTAAGAGATGTCTGTATCTTAGACAGATGCTCCTTCAAACTTTGTGTGGAGTGGGATGTGGGTGTCAAATTGCTTATCACAGGCAGATGGCTTGTAGAGTACATAACTTATGTAGTGTGTTATCTGTTTGATGTGAAGCAATCACAAAATTGTGTTCTTTGACAGGGATTTGAGTGAACTAAGTCCTCTTATATGTCAGTCCTCCCTGAGAATCACCTGAGTAGCCAAAGGTCTCCTGACTTCTCTCTGGCAGAGACATGTTTCCTAGAGTACAACCATTGAAAGCCTTCAGACCTGTGTTCCCACTGCCGTCTATCCTTCATGTTTGGAGAGGACTGTAGGGTGTCTACAGTAATCTGTGTCTCTAGTTTTGAGCCAACATGTCTCCATAGAACCTGGGGCTTCAGACACCAGATACAACCTCCAAGAGTCCCTTGCCCTGAGAAAAGGCTTTGCTTTGTGTTAGGGAAGTCATATTTTCATTAGTCATGCTTAAAAGAAATGGTCTCATCTCTGTTGGCTAGGAATTCCTCTAACTCTGGGTAGCTCGACTCGTCCTTGTGCTTTCCCAATCTGTATTCTGATTTTCTTTAATTTCTCTACTCCAGAGCATTGTTGGCTCTGGAAGGGAGTGCATCTCAGAGTTGCCTTCAGCTGACCTCATAAAGCCTCCTGCCTCTCAGCCTCCTGCCTCATATTTTCTAAGCATGGCACTTTGACGCTAGGTCCCCTACGTGAGTGTCCTTCTGAAGCATATTTAGCCCTTGCAGGCAGAGGTGGAGCAATCACTGTGTGAGTGTGGTAGCTTGACTGCAACTGGACCCCATAAGTCTTGAGGGGCCTTGCAGTCTACCATGGGCTGGCAACGCTCTCCAAGCTCCATCACCTGGGATGGCGGCTCTCTCCCCAGCGAGACTTCCTGCTCTCTACCTGCCCTTATTGGAGAAGGTTTCTAGGCCCAGAGGCCTGACCTTATCTGAAAGCTGTCCCTAAGCCTGGATGCCTGATTTGTCTCTGGTGTGACCCTTGGTATAGTTCCCTGCTAGAGCTGTCCCCCTGCTGCCCATATGGTAGCTATGACTTGTACTAGGAGCTTTATGACAGGAGTGTGCTGCTTAATGCAAATTAGGTGATGCCCCAGCCACTGTTCCCAGCCTTTACACCCCCTCTCTTTCTGGAATAAAGTGGAACCCCAACACATAAACTGTCTCCCCAGAGAGCTGGCTCCATGAACTCTCAATCTCTCTTGCTTATCCTTATCTTTCCCCTCTCCCTTCTCTCTCTATTCTCTCTCTCTCTCCTCTCTTTCTTCTTCTCTCTCCTCTACCCCCGTCTCCCTCCTCTTTCTCCTATCTCCCTTTCTTCTCTCTCTCTCCTCTTTCTCCTCTCTCCCTTTTTCCACTGCTCAGTTTCCCCTCCCCAACTTCTTCCCCCCTTCATCTTCCTTCTCTCCCCTTTCCCACTCCCACTCCTCTATCTCATATTTTCTCCCCTCTTTTTTTCCCCTTCCCCTATTTCTCTGCTCTCTTTTCCTACTTCTCTCCAGACCCTCTTTGGTCTCTATCCTCTCTGTCTCTCCCCATCCCCCTCCATTTCTCATCCCTCTATAGTCTCTCTCCCATCTCTCTCCTCCCTCACGCTCCCTCTCTCCTTCCCTGTATCACGTCTCTTTCCTCTCTCTTTCACTACCACTCCTCTCTCCATGCTCTCTTTCCTCCCTCTCCTCTAGGTTTTTCTCTTCTCTCTCTCTCTCTCTTCCTCCCTCCCTCCCTCCCGTCCGTCTTCTCTCACCTCTTTCACTATGTCTCTCCCACTTCTCTCTAACCTCTTCCTCTTCTCACACAATGCCTGAATCTTACCTCTCTTTCTGCTCTCCTCTGTCCACTCTCCTTCCCCTCCCCTGTCATTTGCTATCTCCCTTCTCTCTCCTCCCTCTCTCCACTTTCTTAC